TGATGAATTAAGAGATTAATTAAGGGTAGGATTAATTAACAAAAGTAATTAAGGATCTAACTCTAAAATTAGACTAAAGTAGGGTTTAGGTACACTAGTTAAATAATTAGTAAAATTTAAGTATCATGACATAATGAGACTAAGGATATTTCATAATGTGACTTAATAATAGAAAAATCCAAGAATTAAGTGAATTAGGATTTATAATCAAAAGCAATTAAGGTTTGTTAAGTAAACACATTTAAAGCTAAGTAACCAGTTTTTAGGCAAAATTGGGGAGAACATATCTCCCTCCATATAGGTCATATAGGGTTGTGCCTTATATCAAATTGAAGCTTGAGATGTTAGCTATGTGGTGTCAAAATGTGGTATCAATTGAAGATCTATTACATTATTTATGTTTGTTTGAGTGAGGACTGCACAGGGAGGTCATGTGCAGGGGCTGTACATGGCTGCAACTTCCACGAATTGTTTCTCCTTATGTGATTACTCAAATTAGGCTCATAATATGTCTAATTAAAGATAAAGGTGTCTAGTTGTCTACATAAAAATTTGAGAGCAAGCAATTAGTTTAGTAGATTTTCCATAATCGTAGAAATGGTAAAGGATGTTTAGGGCCTTGTTCGGAGTTGGCAAACAGCTTTGCTTGTCTAACTTCAAATGGTGATAACCGGATCTAGGAAACTCCAAATGAGGCATGTGATACCTTTTTGGTAAGGTAATTGAGTCTAAATTAACATGCTAAAAGATGAGAATTTTATAACAAGTGAGTTGCGCTCAGTGACTAGAAAACAGAAGCATGTACAGTTGTGGGAAAACCCGTAAAAGTGATATTTAAGCTAAGTGGGCTTAGGGGAACCCTTAGTAACTTATAATAATCATAAATATGGCTTGGATGAGTTGAAAATAATCTAAGTTACCTAAGTGAGCCTTGCATGTGATTCTAAGTTATGTAATTAATTGAAGATTTAGGTAGCTTGTAATAATGCACTAAAATACGTAATTATGTAATAATTGGTCTAGACTTGTAATGGGCATATTATTGGCATATGAGTATGAAAAGTGGAATCATTAAATGATTAAGTCGTGGATATGACTTGATTAATTAATATTTAATTAACGATGTGAATGGTTCCTACGCTAGGTGTGCCTAGAGAATCGTGCACTTGAGGATTTTGTTGGACCATACGTATATTATTGGAGTGTGGGCTTGTTCTAAGCTTCCTAAGGTAAGCTCATAGTTCTAGTTGACTCCTCTCTCTTATGGCCCCACCATGATGGTGGGCATTATGGTTGTATTGTATGAGAGTATATGGTAGGATGTATATGTGCATTCATTCACATTCATATAGATGTTGTATGATCTTGATGTTATGATGATGCACTGATGATATATGTTATGAGGATCCTGGCCAGTGATCATGGTATGTAGGCTGCCTATGACTTCACTCTGGGAGCTATTTCATACTGAGGTTGTGTTGACTGTCTATGGCTTGACCCTGGAAGTCACACATGTGTAACCGTCTATGGCTTTGACCCTGGGGTTACACAAGGATGATATGATGATGCTATGTTTATGCTGTATGTCTGTATTATATGCTTTATATCTGACTTGTCATGCAGGAAGTGGGCTCAAGGGTTAGAGGATCCTCTATGAACCTTGAGCTTATTGAGATGTGGTTATCTCACCCCGTTTGGGGACATCATTTCAGGTACCCAGAGCAGCGACGATGCTTCTAGGGGCAAGGCCCCCGTATTGGAGTAGTTGATGATGCAGCTGATATTTTATATTATGTTTAGACTTATGATGGAATTTGTTAACATGCTTAATTATTGTATTGAGATTATGTTATGGATTTGTTTAGGCTCATGATTGCATCCTTAGAGCCATAAATGATTTACTGATGTTATGTTTTAGAATTAATATAGACTTGATGTATGCATTCAGTTAATTTGGGCATGGAGCCTGATTGTTTGTATTGACCCATTGAGGGAATTGCAGTCCGTGTGGGACTTGCAAGCTATATGTTTAAATTATTGTATCAATTAGGTTATCTATATGTGTGGGACCATGTTTCCAGTTATCCGAAATACAACCATTATGCTGTCTGTGAGACTCCGTCAGGAATGACACTTGATGTCATATATTGATGGTCAATGGCCACTAACACTGGCTCATGGGATTAATTAGTAGATGTATGTTTAGATTTATGTTTTCGCAGTATCTCTCGTGAACGTTTTTAGAAATGTTTTAATAAAAGGTTTTGGAAAAAGTTTACTCGTATTTTTGTAAAACGTTTTATTATTCTTTTAAAATAAAGTCTTTCGCTATGTATGCCAAATATCATGTATGTTAACAACCAGAGTACTACGGGGTGTTACAATCATGCGTGTTTTCTTGTTCACTCTTTCTCAAGGTCCCATCTCTCCAGTCTCCACTCCAATCCAATGCCTTTTTTCTACCCTTCTCTCTGTTCCAACTTGGACGTTATCCGACTGATTTATACATGACTCTGCAAAACTACCCTCATACTTCCCTACCTTTCTCTAAATATATTTTGTTGTATATGTAAAAAAAACATAATCTTTCTTCTGAGCGGGGAAGCATTCTTGTGTTGGAACCTTAGCCATGGAAGTCATATGAAAGCAATCGTAATGCCTCGAAGGTAATAATTAGCTTGCCTTCTTTTCAGTAATTATCAATTTTATATTTCAGATTGGATCATTGTTGACCTTCGTGCTGATAAAAAGAAGATTAAAGATGCTGTCAAGAAAATGTATGATATTCAGGCCAAGCAATTAAATACTTTGATCAGGAAATAGACATGGCAGTGTATTTAGGTCTGATACATTTAAAAAATCGTTTAGGGTCCAGGACCAGTGGTGGCGGCGTGGTGATGGTGGTGACGGCAGTGGCAGTGGTTGTGGCGGCGGCGGTGGTAATGGTGTCGACATAGTGGGGGTGGCAGCGACGATGGTAGTGGTAACAGCAGTGGCCGCGACGATGGTGGGGGTGGTGGTGATGGCGGTGTGGTAGAAATGGTGGTGGTGTAATGATGATAGTGGTGGTGGCGGTCATGGCAATGTAACATCCCCGTCTCGAGCCGGTTTAGTTAACACACATATGATACGAAACGTGATCAGCGGAAGACTTAACTTTCAAACTTACATTAACATACGAAAATACGAGCTAACTTTTTTTTTCTTTTATCCATTTCACATAATATATAGCAATGCATATCTTTCTTCTAATTTATTTTTTCATTTGACGAAGACAAAAATCAGACAACATAACAGTTGTAAATCGAACAAATGGGGATTTACAATTAACGTGTCAGTGTGTCGTGTCGATGTAAGTGTCGGTGTCAGTGCAACATAGATGTACCTCATTAAATGGTCTATGATGAACTCTTTAAACATGCTACAATAAGTGAATCTCCATCTCTGATTTATTTATATTTACAATATGGTCCTTGGGTAAATTTTGCTTTGGATGGATTAAATAGAGACATTGATTGTACTGACATGTTTCTTCAAAAAATATATCTAAATGTCATGGATCCCAAATATTTTTTCAAACTGCCACGACACCATAGTAGCTGAGTGATGTAGCGACTATGAACGAGACAGATGGCACATTCTTTGTGGCGTGTAAAGCCTAGAAGGCTTGAGTGGACCAAAGTCGCTACATGATGTAGCAACTTTGATGTCTATGTAACATGTGTCATCCATTTGGTCATAGTCGCTGAGTGACTCCAGCCTTGCTTTAGTTGTCGTGTGTGTGTGTTGACTGAGAGAAAGAGGCAGAGAGTTGAGACTGAAAGCCACCGTGCCGGAGAGATTTTTACTCTGACTATGATTGGCCGAGGGGAAATGAACGGTGAATAGATAAGGAGGCTGAATAAAAAAAGAGGCTTTATTACAAACAAAAAAATGAGGCTTAATAATATTTTCTCTTGAGGGTTAATTTTGTAACTTCGATCCACGTCCCAGCAATATTTTTCAAAGCAACAAACATAATATTAGTAAAATTATCCAATATTTTCGGGAAAAAAAATTGACAACCAAACAATTTTTTTGTAACATTCTTAGAAAAATCACTTTCCTACCATATTCCTTGAAAATCGGAATAAAATTTTTTTTCTCCTCCCCTTAATTTATTGGCTACAACCTAGAAAGCATCTTGTATGTCGAACACGTGTTGGACATCGACACCCTTCGACATGTGTTTTCGGCACGCGGTCAACACTTCAACACGCATCTCACATGTTTTATTTTAGGTCTAAATTTTATTTTATTACATAAAAATAAAAAATTAATTTATAAGTCAATTTTTGCTGTTATGAAATGTGACATAAAAAATTAATAAGGTACGAAAAATTACTTTTGGTTTATATTTATGTTATGAAATTTGAATATTTGATTGGTTATATAACTTATTATGGACTGTTATATGTATTAAGTATAAATTATATTATATATATTAAAATATTATTTAATATCAAAACGTATCTTGACGTGCCAAAATATGACATTTTTTTAAAATTAATGTGTCAGTATGTCATATCGTGTCTCGTATTTGTGAAACATAGGCTACAGCACCGCCGTTTGGACGTTTTGGAATTAGAGTAATAGATCTATTGTTTCTTTTTTTTTCTTTTCTTTTTTTTTATAGAATAGATCTCCTTATTTGATTACATATGTGTGTGTTAATAACGTTAACTGCATATGCTCGACCTTGCACCAAATATTCAATGTTCCCCTGTAAACTAGCATTGCAAAGAACAAGAATTTAATTAACCTTTGAAAGTTGCATAAAATTGTGTCACAACTAGTCAATCAACAACAGAAGACTTCAAAAACCCACTGGGTGCCTGAATATTTTGTGTCTGTGTAAAACCTGGGTTTTGAGAAGATTCTCCTGAAGCACGATGATAAAACCCTTTCAAGTTCAAACAATTCAACCACAATAACACAGAGATTGGAAAATAAATGCTGGAATCTTATATTTCAACGACTGAAAATTACAAGATACGGTTCAAGCTTAAAGAAAAAGAATTACAATGATCGAAATGTCTACAATCACTGTGAAATCTGTATAGCAGAAAAGGAAAAATAACAGCAAAAAGGGAAATGATAGTGTAGAGCAATTAGAGAGGCTCTACTCTCTCCCAAGGTCCTAATTCCAGTTCAGATTTTCCAATGCCCCACTCTCCTCCCCTTCACACCACTTTTAACCAACTTCTGCTACCTATGCATTCTGTTGGGGGTCACTTTGGGAATAATCCTCTACTAATTCAGCAATGGGCCTGGCCCAAATCCTCCTCCTTTTATCCCTCTTGTACACTTTCATATGCTGGGCTGTATCACATGACAATTTAGAGTATGATATGGCATCAGAATGATGTAGTTATAGCCAATTAAAAAATATAATAAATTAATAAAAAAACAGATGCATTGGTAATGGTAAACTTACCAATTAAAAGTTATCCAGAGGTGAGATATTCAATTTATAAGTTTGACAAATCATTCTTGCATGCTGAATATATGTAAGTCAGTAATGTTCATTCTAGTAATTTGCTTTTATTTTACCGGTAGTCAGTACACTACAGTTGAATTCACATGGAAATAGTTCAAAGAATAAATTGCACCACACGGAAAATTAAGTTAGGTAATCTAGCGAGATGTACTGTCAAGAGACAGAAAACTTTTGTCGAATTGACATTATAATTGAGCATTGCTTGTTGGTTTGAATAGTAATTTTGATAATAAATACATAAATATCAATCTGAATCTCAATGTGCATCTTATGGTTAGAAAATTCAATCTCTTCAGAAATAAATACCCCCAAATTGTTTACCTTCTTCACTGGCAGCACCACTTGCAAAGTTTGACACTGCTGAATTCAAAGCCACTTTTGAAGGTGCAGGACAAGAAGGTTCACAGGCTTCATTGTCCCTGTCCACATTTAACATGCTTATTTTCCTCTTTCTCGACACAATTTCACATCCTGTTGAGATGATAAAGTTCAGTAAAATTTTTCCAAATTAAGAAGCCAAAATAGCTTATAAACAAACAAGTCAAATCAAGATTTGCAAATAATATTTCGTTATATTTCCATACTAATTCATAATCTAATAGAATTCAATTTTTCTTACATTACTTGAACAACTAATTGAAATTATTTATACTTTCTTTCAGAAAAAATTAATAATGCACCACATTGAGAAGAAAATTATATAGGGTATTCAAATTCAGAAATAGTGAAAGCATACCGAGAAAGAAATGCAACAAATATATATTACCTTGGAAATCGGGAGTGCTACTCCCCAGCTTTGGTACCATTGAACTTGAATGCCAATTCACATTATTGTTTGGTGCTGCATAAATTGTCTGAGAATCTGTCATGTCCACCAATCTATGCTCGTGCTCTTCTTTCAGCAACAGTGGATCGGTGAATTGAATGTCCTCCATGCAACTTCCTTGTTTGAATACATGGATTCCACTTTGTTTGGCAAACACTTCTTCTCCTCCGTTTGATGCAGTACACACTACAAAATTCCATTTATTTTCTTCTATATCAGAAAAAATTCCGTCAAGGTTTTCCTGTTTTATATCACAAAGAACTGTATAATCCTCTGTCAGGGGAAACCAATGGAAATCGACTCCTGTATATTTTGAAATGCCGTTGACTTCAATATCGAGCCCAAAAAGGTAAAATTCGAGCGGAATAGCAAAAGATAGAGATATCGCAGGGACCTTGTTACGAAACCAGAAAGAAATTGACGGTCCATTGGTACAGTGCTCAAACCACTCTGGAATCCTTGTTTCTGGCAAGACAAACACTTTGTCTCCACCCTCCTTGTGCAATTCCTGTTAGTCATAATTTATTCATACATTTAGCAAAACCTGTATAGTTTGAGTCAATATAAAATATATTAAATATCAAATCAAATACGTAAGAAAACAAGAACCTCATTCAATAGCATGCTTTTACATTCGGAAGTCAAGGATGGGCAGCCTGTTACACCCAAAGTTCTTATGTTGGGTGAAATCCCTCTTATTTCTTGAAGATTCTTGCAACTTTCCAGAATAAGTTGCATCAAACATTCAGGAAATAGTGTGAGGTCTAAATCTTTCAAGGCTCTGCACTCATATGCTCTGAATTTTTCTAAGTTGGGTGGAATCCCTCCAATTTCCCGAAAATTCTCGCACGAAGATAACAAAATTTCTGTCAAAAAGAGACATTCTTTGATGCTTGCAGGAAGACTTGTGAGATTACACTCATCTAGGAATAATCGTCCCATACTTAAAAACAAAGGGAGACCTTTTCGAATGAATTCATCTGACATATTGCATTTCGAAAGGTTAATATCAAAGGTGTTCTTTAACACCAATGAGCTCACTTGTGCATCACCTTCGTCCAGTTTAGATATAAGCAATCCCTCACATTCCTCAAAATTAAAATTACGAAAATCTCGCATCATCAATATGCTCCGTGGTAACTGAAAAACTCCACAACATGTCAGCATTAGTCTTCCAAGCCTAGTGAGATTTCGAATTGAAAATGGCAGTTCTTTTATGGAAGTGTCTTGGATTTCAAGATATGTTATTTTTTCCATCGGTCCTAATATTTCTGGAAAATTCTCAAGACTAGGACAACATGAAAGCTGGAGTTTTTCAAGAGAGGTCAACTCGATGGGTGGAAAACTCCTAAACTTCTTGCAACCATCAGCGTTCAAGATTTTAAGTTTATTCAGGAATCCAACCGATTTGTGAATTTTATTTAAATTTTCACATTTTGCAAATGATAATTCTTCCAAATTTGGAACACCAGACACGTCAGGTATCTCTGTAATACAATGACAAGAATTAAAATTCAAGACTCTCATATTCACAAACTCCTGCCACCAAAAAAAAGAAGAAAAGAAATCAAGAAAAGGAATCAAATGAATTATAATAGAATGAATATATTAATATAAAAGGCAAAGGAAAAGAGCATATTATACTTACCTTCTTTGACATGAGCCAGTCAATTGATACTAAGCAACTTTCAGGTAACTTCAATATCACAAGATTCTTTGGACGAAAATTAGATGGTAAAGATGGTGAAGGATATCTCCACCATTCTAGTATTCTCAAACTATTTGGAAGATGTTTGGGACCTTCCGAAAAACAACCTTCTCTGATAATAAGTGTTTTGAGGTTTTTCATCTCCTCGAAGGCGTTTCCATCCCATTCAACTACTTCTTCAAATTTGAGGTTGAGGAATTCCAGCATTATTATTTGAATACTACTAGTTCCCTTGAAAGACAAAAACACAGGTCAGCCGTAATACATGCATATATATATTTATGGAGAACAACTAACAGTGAAATAACACTGTCAATAAAAGAAATAAAAGGAAAACAAAAACGGTAAAATTTTAAAGAATATTAAGTATCACAAAAGGAAAACAACAGACAGTGAAATAACACTGTCAACCAAAGATTGTAAACAGAGGTATAAATATAGTGAACTAGGTGTCTAACACATACTAATCAAAAGAGATAAATAAAGGTAAAATTTTGAAAAAAAAACCATCCAAATCAGTCTTACCGTATTATCTTCTAAAACTTGTACTATATCATTGGGGAACCATAATCTACTACGTTTGCCTGGCTCTTCTGGGGCTTCCTGTCGGACAATTTCTTTACCCATGTCCTCTATCAGGTCATGCAATGTTACACGATGAGATACATTAATCTTTATGAGAGACTTTTCAATCAACACTCCAATACCATATTCTGGGCAGATACCATGATGAGCATAAAGTAACTTTTTGACATATGCTAAATAATTTCCTTTGAAAAAACAAGCAATATCAAGAAAAATTTTCTGCTCATATTCCCCCAAAGAATGAAAACTTACTTCAAGTATCTTTTGGATCTCTTTATTAGGTATTCTCTCATACAGATCTAATGCAGATTTCCATTCTTCTATCATTTTCCCAAACAAGCAAGAACCCATTACCTCCAATGCCAGTGGAAGGCCAGAAGCAAAAGTTATTGCACGGTTTAAAACGTCCACATAACTTGAATCAACTTTATCAGTTTTAAAAGCATTCCAACTAAGTAATTCAAGAGCTTCTTTGTTATTCAACCCATCTAGCTCATAAGTTTTCTCAACCCCATGACTTGTGAGCAAATGCTTGTCTCTAGTTGTAATGATGATTCTGCTGCCAGAACCAAACCAATCAAGCCCTCCAACAGTTGCCTCCAAATGCTCCAGTTTGTCAACATCATCAAGAACTAAAAGAACCTTCTTCCTCTGGAGCCTATGCTCTATTATTGAAATTCCTTTATTGACACTTGCTAACTTAATATCCTTCTCTCCTACTAAATCAGAAAGAAGTGTCTCTTGGAGACGTTCTAATCCATGTTTAATTGAATTTTCTCTCACATTATCAAGAAAACACAAAGCTTGAAATGAATCAGCAATAGCATTATAAACTGCTCGAGCAACTGTTGTCTTCCCTATTCCCCCAATGCCATGGATCCCTACCATGCGGACTCCATCAGATCGGACATTGAGAAGTGAGATTACTTCTTTCACTTTAGACTCCAATCCAACTGGATACTTTGCAACATGTAGAAGAGCACGATTGATCTTGTTGGAGACCACTTTAACAATCTTCTCAATAAACTCATATTCATTCTCATTCCTGCCCAATTAATGAGTGAAGACATACTAAATGATTCATATTAACATTAAAACCAAATCATAAGAAAAATGGAAAATAAAGAAACAAAAAAAAACATAGGAAGATAAAACAGTACCCTTGTTGTTTGAAATGAAAGCCAGACAAGTCAGCTGCTTGGCTCAGAGCCATCTTCCATTTATGCAACCTCTCCATGTTATCCATAAACCTCTCCTCATGCCTAGTCAATGCCTCACCATAAGTACCTTTATGCTTTCGCACATCAGAAGGGTCAACGTAATAGAAAACTGGCAAAACCAACCGACCATTTTCCTTGATGGAGTGAAGGATATGGACAAGTTCGTCCAAGCAAAATGAAGAAGAAGCATAGTTCTTGGAGAACACAATGATGGAAATCCTGGATTCTTCAATTGCCTTGACAAGTGATGGTGTGATTTCCTCTCCTCTTTGAAGCTCTTTATCATCAATGAAGGTGTGGATTCCTCTGTCAAGAAGAGCTTTGTAGAGATGGCCTGTGAAACCGTGACGAGTATCTTCGCCTCTAAAGCTGAGAAACACATCGTATTTGAATCCATAGCTAAAGGAAGAAGAGCGCAACAATGATTCTTGCCTTGCCATGATTTTTGCTCACAATTCTCAAACTACTATAGATGACTTGGGTTCAGTTGAAGTCGCCAAAGCCCAGTTCTGATGTATTGGACGCTTCGCATGTCTCTACCAAAGCCCACTCCTATGATAAACTTGTCATAGTCATATTATTTCCAATGCTGCATTAAATAAAAAACAAAACAAAACAGTTGCAATGCAATAAACTTTTCTTGAACTATCAGTCAAATTCTAAAAGAAAAAAATTAGGTGAATTTTAAACATGCAGCACAATTTAGTATATTTAAAAATGTAGTTATTATTTTTCAAAAAAAAAATATATATTTACAATAATTGAACTCCATTATTTATATTTAAAATATGATCCTTTGGTAAAATTTGTTTTGGATGGATTAAATAAGACGAGTGGAGGAGAAGGTGTCGAGCTTTTCCAAACTGATATAATTCTATCTCACTATCTGAACATAGAGCTAAACATCGATCAATCAAGATTCAACAAGTTTAAACTAGGGTCCGTTTCGATAAACATTAAAAGAGAAAAAAAAATTATATCTCATTTATTTTAGAAGAATTTTAAAATTATTTTGCATTTGAATATAATACATGAAAAATATTTTTATATGAAAAAGTTATGTGAATATGAAAATTGCTCTTTTGGAAACTGCATATTTTAATTGAGTGACTTCCGCAATGGATCCTCACACGTCTCGTTTAACATGATCTCAACCGTCCATATTATCTATCCTAATGCTCTCTTCTCTTGATCACCTTTGATTTATATGTTAGACGGTTGAAATTTGTCATGACCTAATCTTGTTTAAATGAGAAGGATACATTCCCTATCACCTTGGAATCCCTTCCTTCAATATTTACAATTGATATGGCCATAAAAAGGGGGAAAAAAAAATTCAATCACAATAAAAACTATATTTACTCCATCTTAATCTCACACATAAGTAACAAAACCTAAATCAAGTGTTCCAAAAATTTAAACCTAAAATTCACAAGCAAGCAAAACACCAATTAAATTAAATTAAATTTAAGATTAACTATTTAAACAATAAAATAGGAAAAGAGAAACAAACAAATACTTGGGAGAGGAAGTGAGGTACTTGTGGCAGGAATGAACGGTTTTGAAGTGGTCAATGTTGAGCCTCTTGTTGATTATGCCAACCTGGAAGTAGATGATGATGTTATTGGAAGGGGACAAATCGACCCTGATCTCATCGACGTTGAACCAGAGCCCAGAGGAAAAGGAGCTGCGTTATTCCAAAGCTTATGCCTCTGTTTCTATTTTGTGTTTTCATTCAGTTTCTTCAACTTGTCGGTTGTGACTTGGATTCAGTTGACTCCTACGATAACTCGTCATAGTCAATTAGTCATATTATTTCCAATAGACTTTTCTTCAACTATCAGTCAAATTTTAAAACAAAACTTACGCGAATTTTAACCACACAGCACAATTTGGTATATTTAAAAAAGTAGTTATTATTTTTTGAAAAAAATATATATAAAATTTCAATATAATATATAATTAAAATAATGGTATATCATTTCTTCTGCCAAACGAGATAAAGTTATCTCGGCAGCCACAAGATTATATCATTTTAAGGGTTAAAGAAATTAATTAAGGGGATAAAATTCATATAAGTTTAATGTTTCTGTTTTTATTACAGAAAAAATTCTTTGTCACACTCACAAAAAAAAAGAAGGATTTGCTTACTATATTGACCATTGTTCAGCTTTTGTTGCAGAATTATAGGGCGTCCTCAAGGGTCTTGAATTTGCTTGGGCTAGAGGTTGGAGACGCTGCATCCTAGAAAGTGATTCAAGCTCAATTATCACTTTGTTCTCTAGTAGTGGAAGAGCAGCTCGAGAGTCTCGTAGTGACTCGGATTCAAGCATGATTACAAAAGAATTGGGAAGTTCACCTGGTTCGTGTTTTTAGAGAAGGAAATAGTTGTGCAGATTGACTTTCTAAATATTCTTTAGATTATCCTGTTGAGAATAATTTGTGTGTTTTTTCAAACCCTTCCCCTGATATTTGGCCTTTATATTGGGCTGATTTGTCTTTGTCTTGTTATTTTAGAACGATTTTATTGAATTGATCTCTTTGGGGTGTTATTGTTAACCCCCTTAGATTACCAAAAAAAAAATTATTATTTAATATCAGAATGTATCCCCACGTGTCAAAATTTAATTATTTTTAAAATTAATGTGTTAGCGTGTCATGTTTCGTGTAGATGTTGATGTCCGTGCAGGTGTTGGTGTCAGTCTCAATGCAACATAAATGTATCCCACTAAATGGTCTATGGTGAACTTTTTAAACATGTTATAATAAGTGAATCTCCTTCTCTGATTTATTTATATTTCCAATATGGTCCTTAGGTAAATTTTGCTTTGAATGGAATAAATAAAGACATTGACTGTACTGTCATGTTTCTTCATAAAATATACCTGAATGTCACAGATTCTAAATATTTTTTTAAACTGTCTCGACACCATAGTCATTGAGTGATGTAGCAACTATGAATGGGATGCATGGCACATTCTCAGTGCCATGTAAAGCTTAGGAGGCTTGAGTGGACCAAAGTCGTTACAAGGTGTAGTAACTTTGATGAGCAATCCCTTTCATTTCTTTTAATTTGGGGAATCATGTGTGTTTTCTTCTTCACTCTTTCTCAAGGTCCCATCTCTTTGATCTCCACTCTAATCCAATGCCTTTTTTCTGCCCTTCTCTCTGTTCCAGCTTGACTGACTTAATAGTGTACATGACTCTGCAAAACTAACCTCATGCTTCCCTACCTTTCTCTAAATATTTTGTTGAGGAGGGTGGCATTCTTGTGTTGGAAACTTAGCCACGGAAGTCATATGAAAGCAATCGTAATACCTCGGAGGTAATAATTAGCTTGCCTTCTTTTCAGTTATTAACAATTTTATATTTAAGGGAGTACTAAGAAGTGGAAACTTTTACATAATATGACAAGTGTCATCCTTGTCTAGCGACTATGGTGCAAAGAATAAAAAAATAATTTTACAAATGGCCAATGGCCAAAGTCGCTACATCAGTCAGCGACTATCATGGCTACCTTACCCCTTGCTCAATTAATCAGTAAGCTTGGCAGCTGTTTGGTATTATAAAATCTACTTTTATGCTTCTTTTCATTTGTAAAAGCATCTTATATTCATTCATGTAAGAGGAAGATTATTTATTTGTTTTTATACCATTTTACCTTATTTTGTTTTTGACAAGTGGCTTGTATATGTGATTTTTCAGATACTTTCAATAAGTGATGAAAATCGTCAAGAACATGATGATACAATAGCTGACGAGGGCATTCTTTTTGATAACTCAAATGATGCTACAACTATGGTAGAAGGCAATATAGAAGAAACAAATGAAACACTTAATACTGAAGAACTGGAAAAAAAAAATGGTGATTTCACAAGGCACAAGTGACCAGATTGGATCACTGTTGACCTTCGTTCTGATAAAAAGAAGATTAAAGATGCTGTCAAGAAAATGTATGACATTCAGGCCAAGCAATTGAATACTTTGATCAGGAAATAGAAATGGCAGTGTATTTAGGTCTGATACATTTAAAAAATCGTTTGTAATGAAAAATGATCAGGGTACTGCATCATGCTGGTAATTGACAATTTCAATGCTAAAAGTTTCATTACATTGTGTTTTCCAAATGAGTTTTTATGTGTATTCCAAATATGGGTTTCCAAACAAGAATAAATATCAATAACAGAGGTATACAGCCAGAAAAATTCTGCATACAAATAATGGGGAAATACATGATTCTACATTGTTGATTCTTTCCATGTACAACCAGCAGCAGAATCAGAATAATCATCAACTAATCTGTCAAATTAATCAACTAAACAACAAAATCCTTCATACATGCTACAGTTTCAACAAAGGACTTCCTGAACACAGTGTTTACTCACAAATCAAAAATCTGAAATAAAGTGGACTTCAATGTACAAGTCAGACATTGAATCAGAAGGCTCCCGTTACTTATTTCACAATACTCCCCAATTCATATACCATATCAAAAATCACTGACAATAGAAACTCAGGACTAATATACATATCAGCATAGTCCTAAATTTAAATTATGATTCTCATGTTCAGTTTACTTCAATGGCTATACCTATATCACAATATTCAGGCATTGTGTTTAAGGAAGCAAACACGACATAATATATGACTAGACAGCATAGAACCAAAAAAAGAAAAAAGATACAGCTCATACATGCTAACATTTACAGGAAAATGATGACTCAATATCACTGGGCATACACATAATGAATAAATACATCACAAAATCAGAATCTGTAGGGATATTTTTTAAAGTAAAACTAGATTAGATTATTCTTGCCAACAACGAAGTTGATATTTTATTAGATGAGATTTACAAAGTAGTTGATGAAACAAAAAGTTATATTTGTAAGAAACAACGATTTTAAAGAAAAGTTTAATATTCCACCAAAAAGAAAATCCAAAATCTGCTTTGCTTAGTAAGAAGTGAAAAAAACAACAATTATTAGCTACAGCGCCACCGTTTGAACGTTTTATGTTAATATCCTAAATTATCCACGTGTACATTTAGAGTTAGTTCTAACTAACTTAGAGATTAGCCTTTTAGTTACAGAATTTGTTACCTGTTAGCTTTTCTGTTGAGCTTAGTTGTTTAGCTTTTAGCTTAGTTCAGTTACTATATATATTTAGTAACTTTGTAATCTGTTTCTCAAGAATCAATAATATGAAATTCTTTCATTTATTCTCTGAAAGTGGTTCATGTTATTTCCAGATCAGCTTCTAATTCATCACCTCTCAGCAAACTCAGATGCAGTTGACACAATTTTCCTACTCACTCAAATGTGTAAGCACCCTTGAAGCTTCTGATACCAATGTTCTCATTTCTCCTCATATTCCTAGTTTTCATGATACTAATGCTCAGTATGTAGAAAAATTGAGGCATCATTGCAGATGAAGTCTTTTACTAGTTTCAATTTTTCCCTGACCTCTTCATTTTGAGCAGTGGTGGCCGATTTATCTTTCAAAAGTCTTTTACTTCTCATCTTCAAGAGAAGCATAAAATGCTTCTGTTTCTACATCATCTTGACTTAGCTCAATTTGATTTTTGAAAGACACCTCAATTGTGGTTGGCAACACTGCAAAACGTTTGTGTGTATTTCTTGTCCTCTGGGGGGCCTGAATATATTGTGTCTATGTAAAACCTGGGTTTTGAGAAGATTCTCCTGAAGCATGACAATTTAGAGTATGATCAATCATCAGAATGGTGTAGTTATAGCCAATTAAAAAAATATAATAAATTAATATAAACAGATGCATTAGTTCAAAGAATAAATTGCACAACACGGCAAATTAAGTTAGGTAATCTAGGGAGATGTACTGTCAAGAGACTGAAAACTTTTGTGGAATTGACATTATAATTGAACCTCGCTTGTTGGTTTGAATAGTAATTTTGATAACAAGTAAATAAATATGAATCTGAATCTTAATGTGCATCTCCTGGTTAGAAAATTCAATATCTTCAGAAATAAATACCCCCAAATTGTTTACCTTCTTCACTGGCAGCACCACTAGCAAAGTTTCACACTGCTGAATTCAAAGCCACTTTTGAAGGTGCAGGACAAGAAGGTTCACATGCTTCATTATCCAAGTCCACATTTAACATACCTATTTTCCTCTTTCTGGACACAATTTCACATCCTGTTGAGATGATAAAGTTGAGTAAATTTTTCCAAATTAAGAAGCCAAAATAGCTTATAAACAAACAAGTCAAATCAAAATTTGCAAATATTATTTCGTTATATTTCCATACTAATTCATTATCTTATAGAATTTAATTTCTCATACATTACTTGAACAACTAACTAAAATTATTTATACTTTCTTCTAGAAAAAATTAATAACGCACTACGCTCAAACCAGTGGCAAGTAAATTCGAAAATATTGAAAGCATACCGAGAAAGAAATGCAACCAATGTATTTTACCTTGGAAATCGGGAGTGCCACTCCCCAGCTTTGGTACCACTGAATTTGAATGCCAATTCACATTATTGTTTGGTGCTGCGTAAATCGTCTGAGAATCTGTCATGTCTTCCAAATTATGCTCATGCTCTTCTTTCAGCAACAGTGGATCGGTGAATTGAATGTCCTCCATGCGACTTCCTTGTTTGAATACATGGATTCCACTTTGTTTGACAACAAACACTTCTTCTTCTATCTTTGATGCAGTACACACCACATAATTCCATTTATTTTCTTCTATATCAGAAAAAATTCCGTCAAGTTTTTCTTGTTTTATATCACAAAGAACTGTATAATCCCCTACCAGGGGATTCCAATTGAAACCCACTCCTGTAACTTTTGAAATGCCATTGACTTCAATATTGAGCTCAAAATAGTGAAATTTGAATCGAATAGCAAAAAATATAGATATCACAGGGACCTTGTTACGAAACCAGAAAGTAATTGACGGTCCATTGGTACAATGCTCAAACCACTCTGGAATACTTGCTTCTGGCAAGAGAAACACTCTATCTCCACCCTCCTCGTGCAATACCTGTTAGTCATAATTTATTCATACATTTAGCCAAACCTGTATAGTTTGAGTCAACGTGAAATATATGAAATATCAAATTAAATACGTAAAAAAACAAGAACCTCATTCAGTAACATGCTTCTACACTCGGAAGTCAAGGATGGGCATTCTGTTGCACACAAAGTTCTTATGTTGGGTGAAATCCCTCTAATTTCTTGAAGATTCTCGCAATTTCTCAAAATAAGTGTCGTCAAACATCCAGGAAATAGTGTGAGGTCTAAATCTTTCAAGGAGTCGCAATTATATGCTTCGAATGTTTCTAAGTTGGGTGGAATTCCTCCAATTTCCCAAAAATTCTCGCACACAAATAACTCAATTTCTGTCAAAAAAAGACATTCTTTGATACATGCAGGAAGACTTGTGAGATTACATTGGGATAGGCGTAATCGTTGCATATTGAAAAACAAAGGGAGACCTTTTCGAATGAATTCGTCTGACATATTGCATTTCGAAATATGAATATCAGAGGTGTTCTTAAACACTGATAAGCTCACTCCTTCGTCCTGTTTAGATATAAGCAATCCCTCACATTCCACAAAATTAAAATTACGAAAATCTCGCATCATCAAAATGCTCCTTGGTAACTGAAAAACTCCACAACGTCTCAGCTTTAGATAATGAAGCCGAGTGAGATTTTGAATTGAAAATGGCAGTTCTTTTATGGAAGTGTCTCGGATTTCAAGATGCCATATATTTTCCATCTTTTCTAATATTTCTGGAAAATTCTCAAGACAAGGACAACATGAAAGCTGGAGTTTTTCAAGAGAGGTCAACTCGATGGGTGGAAAACTCCTAAACTTCTTGCAACCATCAGCGTTCAAGATTTTAAGTTTATTCAGGAATCCAACTGATTTGTGAATTTTAATTAAATTATCACAACATTCAAATGATAATTCTTCCAAATTTGGAACACCAGACACATCAGGTATCTCTGTAACACAATGACAACCATTAAAATTCAAAACTCTCATATTCACAAACTCCTGCCACCAAAAAAAAGAAGAAAAGAAATCAAGAAACAAGAATCAAATGAATTATAATAGAATGAATATATTGATATAAAAGACCAAGAAAAGGAACATATTATACTTACCTTATTTGACATGAGCGAATCAATTGACACTAAGCGACTTTGGGGTAACTCCAGTATCACAAGTTTCTTTGGATGAAAATTAGACGGTAAAGATGGAGAAGGATATCTCCACCATTCCAGTACTCTCAAACTATTTGGAAGATGTTTGGGATCTTCCGAAAAACAAAATTTTCTAATAATAAGTGTTTTGAGGTTTTTCATCTCCTTGAAGGCGTTTCCATCCCATTCAACTACTTCTTCAAATTTGAGGTTGAGGAAATCCAACATTATTATTTGAATACTACTAGTTCCCTTTAAAGACAAAAACACAGGTCAACCATAATACATGCATATATATTTATGGAGAACAATAGACAGTGAAATAACACTGTCAACAAAAGAAATCAAAGGAAAACAATAAAAATAAAAAATTTAGTGAATATTAAGTATCATAAAAGGAAAACAACAGATAGAGGAATAACACTGTCAACCAAAGATTGTAAACAAAGGTATAAATATAGTGACCTTGATGTCTAGCACATAATAATCAAAAGAGATAAATAAAGGTAAAAAATTTAAAACAAAACCATCCATATTAGTCTTACCGTATTATCTTCTAAAACTTGAACTATATCATCGGGGAACCATAATCTACTACGTTTGCCTGGCTCTTCTGGGGCTTCTCGTCGGACAACTTCTTTACCCATGTCCTCTATCAGGTCATGCAATGTTACATGACTAGATACATTAATCTTTATGAGAGACTTTTCAATCAACACTCCAATACCATATTCCGGGCAGATACCATGATGAGCATAAAGCAACTTTTTGACATATGCTAAATCATTTCCTTTGAAGCAACAAGCAATATCAAGAAAAAATTTCTGCTCATATTCCTCCAAAGAATGAAAACTTACTTCGAGTATCTTTTGGATCTCTTTATTAGGAATTCTTCCATACTGATCTAATGCAGATTCCCAGTCTTCTATCCTTTTTCCAAACAAGTTGGAACCTATTACCTCCAATGCCAATGGAAGGCCAGAAGCAAAAGTTATTGCACGGTTTAAAATGTCCACATAACTCGAATCAACTTTGTCAGTTTTAAAAGCATTCCAACTAAGTAATTGAAGAGCTTCTTTGTTATTCAACCCATCTAGCTCATAAGTTTTCTCAACCCCATGACTTGTTAACAAATGCTTGTCCCTAGTTGTAATGATGATTCTGCTGCCAGAACCAAACCAATCAAGCCCTCCAACAGTTGCCTCCAAGTGCTCCAGTTTGTCAACATCATCAAGAACTAAAAGAACCTTCATCCTCTGGAGCCTATGCTCTATTATTGGGATTCCTTTATTGACACTTGATAACTTGATGTCCTTCTCTCCGACTAAATCAGAAAGAAGGGTCTCCTGGAGATGTTCGAATCCATGTTTAATTGAATTTTCTCTCATATTATCAAGAAAACACAAAGCTTCAAATGAATCAGCAATAACATTATAAACTGCTCGAGCAACTGTTGTCTTCCCAATTCCCCCAATGCCATGGATCCCGATCATACGGACTCCATCAGATCGGACATTGAGAAGTGAGATTACTTCTTTCACTTTAGACTCCAATCCAACTCGATACTTCTCAACATGTAAAGGAGTGCGATTAATCTTGTTGGAGACCTCTTTAATAATCTTCTGAATAAACTCATATTCATTCTCATTCCTGCCCAATTAATTAGTGAAGTCATACTAAATGATTCATATTAACATTAAAACCAAATCATAAGACAAATAGAAAATAAAGAAACAAAAAAACATAGGAAGATAAAAACAGTACCCTTCTTGTTTGAAATGAAAGCCAGACAAGTGAGCTACTTGACGCAGAGCCATCCTCCATTTCCGCACCTTCTCCATGTCATCCTTAAACCTCTTCTCATGTGTAGCAAGTGCTTCTTCATAGCTACCTCTCTGATGTCGCACGTCAGAAGGGTCAACGTAATAGAAAACTGGCAAAATCAACCGACCCTTTTCCTTGATGGAGTGAAGGATATGGACAAGTTCATCCAAGCAAAATGACGAAGAAGCATAGTTCTTAGAGAACACAGTGATGGCAATCCTGGATTCTTCAATTGCATTGACAAGTGATGGTGTGATTTCCTCTCCTCTTTGAAGCTCTTTATCATCAATGAAGGTGTGGATTCCTTTGTCATGAAGGGCTTTGTAGAGATTGCCAGTGAAACCGCGACGAGTATCTTCGCCTCTAAAGCTGATAAACACATCGTATTTCCATCCATAGCTGAAGGAAGAAGAGGGCAACAATGATTCTTGCCTTGCCATGAATTTTGCTCACAGTTCTCAAACTGCAGACAGATGTTTGGAAACACAGTTTGGTAAAGTACATTAAAAGTTGGTCTTTTTTTTGTAAACAAAACAGCACGCGGAGTTGACTTCTTTGCCTTTCTTCGAAGTATCATTTTCTAAGTTAAGGAAATTTCTTCGAAGTTTCCTTGTGCTAATATATATTTTGTTTTTGGTAATTTGACTAATATATATTTTGTTTTTGGTACTTTTTTCTGTAATTTCTTCTCCCATCTTAACCCCTCGAATGACTTCACGTGATGATTTTTTTAATGGGTCCGTTGATAGTATTTGTTTTGGATGGATTAAATAAGACGAGTGGTGGAGAAGGTGTCGAGCTTTTCCTAACTGATATAATTTTATCTCACTATTTGAACAAGAGTTAAACATTTACGAAGCACCAACACTTTATTTCTGCGGGTTATTGTGCCTACTCCCCTTTTGCCTACTTTTACCTATCCCTCTCAACATCGTTGAATTACAATCTCTGTTGTAAATAATATTGATTTAGTTTTTATTTAGTCATTTATTGTTGTATTGGGCCAAGCCCTTTGTTGTATTGGGCCAAGCCCATTAGGTTAAAAGTAGGTCAAATTATCTCTATAAATAGAGAACCCTTTGTACAGATTATTTACAATTCTATAATATATTAGAATACCCTTTCTCAAGTTGGTATCAGAGCTCTCGATCTGAGGGCTTTGCTTCCGCACATATTATCTTCTCTTTTAACAAAACCCTAATTTCTTTGCCTCTTGCCGCCATTAGCCGCCACCGGAAAATTTTTCCGGGGACCTTTTGGACCAAGGGGACCATTGTTGACCTTATTTTTCCTCCGATCTATCATTCTACGCAGTGTTTCTCCGCCACAAACGACCGAAACACCTCTGATCGCCTCCAATCAGATCTGTCTTCACCGTTTGAACCACTTTCCGGCGACTTTTCAACCGCGACCACCCACAGACAGGTGTGCGCTCACCAGACGACCACACCAGAAAAATCTCAGCCGGCGAAGCCCATCCACGCGCTCTCACGCGCCGCCCCTTTCCCGGCGAGTGAATCCCACGCGCAGCTCCTTTCTCCGGTGCGTGGAGGCGCGTGCGGCCGTGTTTTTGGACCGGACCACCACCATTCTTCTCGTCTTTTTGTCTTCTGTCTGGATCTATAATTATTTTTCTGATCAGAGGTCATTTGATATTCTGTTTGGTTGATTTTATCGCTGGTTGTTAACTTTTTTTGTTAAAGAATGGCTGAGCATGATAGTTCTTCGATCTTATCTGGTAAGAGCACACGTTCTATATCTCTTCTTGCTTCTTGCACTGATTTTAAAACCTCATGGATTTTGGATTCTGGTGCAACTGATCATATGGCTTGTCGTACTGAGTTATTTTGTTCTTATCATCCTACTGTTGGTAGTCATACTATATCCGTAGCTGATGGATCCCATAAATCAGTTATTGGTTCTGGTAACATTCAAATTCAACCTTCCTTGTTTCTTAAAAATGTTCTTTATGTTCCTCAGCTTTCTAATCTTATCTCCACTCAAAAACTTACAACTGATTTGAATTGTTCTATCACATTTTTTCCTTCTCATTGTCTTATTCAGGATCTTACCACGAAGAAGACAATTGGAGTTGCTAATGAACAGGATGGGTTGTATCATCTCCTTCCAGACCATGCTAGCAAAAATCAGTTATTAATGACACGTCATCCTTCTACTGCAGAGTCTATGATTTGGCTCCATCACAAGCGTCTCGGGCATCCACCATTTAGTCTTTTGAAGTCTATGTTCCCCTCTCTGTTTCTCAATAAGTCGGTTGAGACCTTTCATTGTGATGTTTGTGAATTTGCAAAACACCATCGAGTGTCATTTCCTTCTAGCACTATTAAAAGCAGAGAACCTTTTTCTCTTATCCATTCTGATGTTTGGGGCCCTTCTAAAGTGCACAGTGTTTCAGGTGCTAGATGGTTTGTTTCTTTTATTGACGATTGTACTCGGATAACATGGATATACTTGATGAAAGACAAGTCTGAAGTACCAGAGATATTTATTCGGTTTCATCACATGGTTGAGACTCAGTTTGGTAAGGGTATTAAAAGACTCAGATCTGATAATGGTACTGAGTACGTCAATCAACGCCTGTCACAATTCATTTCAGACAGAGGTATGATTCATGAGCTCACATGTGTTGATACCCCTCAACAAAACGGGGTTGCTGAAAGGAAAAATCGTCACCTTCTTGAAGTTGCTAGAGCACTACTTTTTCAGACATCTGTTCCTAGTTCTTATTGGGGAGAAGCAGTATTAGCTGCAACTTTTTTGATCAACCGTTTACCTTCACGGGTCCTTAACAATATCAGTCCTATTCATTCCATGACTTCCTTCTTTCCTTCTGTTCCCATATTGCAGAGCCTTCCACCAAGAGTGTTTGGATGTGTTTCCTTTGTCCATGTTCATAAACAACATCGGAGTAAGTTGGATCCTAGGGCTCTTAAGTGTGTCTTCCTTGGTTATAACCCTTATAAAAAAGGGTACAAGTGTTATCATCCACCAAGTCGGAAATTTTTTGTTTCTATGGATGTCACCTTTCAAGAATCTGAATCTTATTTCCTGGGTCCTCATCGTCAGGGGGAGAATAGTTCTTCAGAAGACTCGTCCCCTTCCTTCTTTGAGTCTGGATCAATCTTCTCTCTTCCTAGTGTGTCTGCTCCTGGTGTGTCAGAACCTTCAAATACACCTGAGATACAACCCATACTGTCTCACCAGCAACCTCAATCGTCTGAACCACTGGTAAGTCCTGAATCTCCTATTTCTTCTGAATCTCCTGTTTCTGATTCTAATATTATTTCCTCTCATGATTTGTCTATTTCTTCTGATATCTCTAATGACTTACCCATTGCTTCTACTTCTGATGACTTACCTATTGCTCTTAGAAAAGGAAAAAGATCTTGTCACAAGAAAACTTGTTCCTCCTGTCCCTCTTGTACTCAATACCCTATCTCCCACTTTGTTTCCTCTGCTAATCTTTCTGTGCAGCACAAAAGCTTTGTTTCAGCACTAGATTCTATTGCAATCCCAAAATCAGTACATGAAGCCTTGAAAGATAGGAATTGGGCTCAAGCCATGCAAGAGGAGATGAATGCTTTGGAGAAAAATAAAACATGGGAGGTTATTGATAGACCCAACGGAAAGAAAGCAGTAGGGTGCAGATGGGTTTATACCCTGAAATATAATTCTGATGGCACTCTTGAGAGATATAAGGCTCGATTAGTGGCCAAAGGTTACACTCAAACCTATGGTATTGATTATGAAGAAACCTTTGCTCCAGTTGCAAAGATGAATACAGTGAAAATCTTGTTATCCCTTGCTGCCCATTACAATTGGGATATAAATCAATTTGATGTGAAAAATGCTTTCCTCAATGGTGAGTTAGAAGAAGAAGTCTACATGGAAATCCCGCCTGGTTTTGATTCTGTGAAGGGGGAAAATAAAGTTTGTAGATTAAAAAAGGCCTTATATGGATTGAAGCAGTCACCTCGTGCTTGGTTTGGAAGATTTACTAAGGTTATGATGACCTTAGGATACAGACAGAGCCAAGGAGATCACACTCTTTTCTTCAAGCACTCCCAAAATGGGAAGCTTACTGTGCTCCTTGTATATGTTGATGATATTATTATCACAGGTGATGATTTTGTGGAGAGACAGATTCTGCAAACACGGCTTGCCTCTGAGTTTGAAATCAAAGACCTTGGGAAACTGAGATATTTCCTAGGGATAGAAGTAGCTCATTCAAGCAAAGGAATTTTTATCAGCCAGAGGAAATATGTTCTTGATCTTCTCAAAGAAGCAGGAAAGCTCGGGTGTAAACCCTCTAATACTCCTATTGAGCAGAATCACAAGATGGGCTATGAAGAAGAGAGTCCTCCAGTTGATAAAGGACAATATCAACGGCTAGTTGGGAAATTGATATATTTGGCTCATACTAGACCAGACCTAGCTTATGCTGTTAGTGTTGTCAGTCAGTTTATGCACGATCCAAAAGAAAAACACATGCAGGCAGTAGAGAGAATTCTTCAGTATCTTAAAGGTACTCCTGGTAAAGGATTGTTATTCCGACGTGATGGCAATCTATCTTTAGAAGTCTACACAGATGCTGATTATGCTGGATCCGTGACTGACCGTCGTTCTACCACTGGTTATTGCATGTTTCTTTGCGGTAACTTAGTGTCATGGAAAAGTAAGAAACAAGATGTGGTTGCCAGATCAAGTGCAGAAGCTGAATTTCGAGCTATGGCTCAAGGCATTTGTGAGTTACTGTGGCTGAAAATTGTTCTTGATGATCTCAAAATAAAATGTGAGGGACCTATGAAGCTGCTATGTGATAATAAGTCCGCTATTTGTATAGCTCATAATCCAGTTCAACATGATCGGACTAAACATATTGAGGTTGACCGCCATTTCATCAAAGAGAAACTTGATAGCGGGTTGATTACCACTCCATACATTCCCACTGGGCGTCAATTGGCTGATCTATTAATAAAGGGGCTTTCTTCAGGCAGATTTCAAGAACTTACTAGCAAGCTGGGAATGATAAATATTTATTCCTCAGCTTGAGGGGGAGTGTTGTAAATAATATTGATTTAGTTATTATTTAGTTTTTATTTAGTCATTTATTGTTGTATTGGGCCAAGCCCTTTGTTGTATTGGGCCAAGCCCATTAGGTTAAAAGTAGGTCAAATATTCTCTATAAATAGAGAACCCTTTGTACAGATTATTTACAATTCTATAATATATTAGAATACCCTTTCTCAAGTATCTCATCTAACAGTTCAGATTCAAAAGTTAAATAAAACCCTTTTACTCTTTTTCTCTCTCTCTAACTCCACTCTTCTTCCCCCCTCTCTCTCTGTCTCCACCCTTACTCTCTCCTCCCTTGCTTGCGATGAAGAAGACGTACTTGCAAATATCTCTTCCACTAGAAACCAGATACGTTGCTAAGAAACAAAATCCATGG